TTTCTTGTTGGACCAAACGGTAAATACCATATGGCAACTTTCCAGCTTAACTAGTTCGGCACTCGGTTTCAAAAGTGAATCTCTGCAATGTTCATGTACTTTTGTAAATAATGCTGTCGAGGGCTCACAATTTCACAATTTTTATATTACATAACAGCAGGTGGCGGCTGTTAAAAGTTGTCCCGTATTTCATTTCAAAAGAGATATATTTTTCTAGTCCTTCGGATCATTGATCTCAACACTTGAGTTGAAAATTGATATATGCTAAGCTGTGTACGGCAACTAAATCTACACATATTGATTGTATTGAAAATGCGAGAATACGGAAAAAAGCAACGGGGTACATATATCTATCAATGATTGTGAATTCGTCAATGAAAATCTGTAAAAAATTGATATGATAAGTAATTTATTAATGATAAAATGAAAATTATATATGAACTTAAAAAAATAAAAGAGTTAAAATGATGTTGACAACATATCTGGAAATATCAGAATTTTATAATCATGTCTCTATGAATATACTGTTCTCATTTAGATGATCACTTTCCTCTTGATCTTAATTTCGGCGAAAGTAGGGCTACAACTGCATTAGATATATTAACTTATCATGCACAAATTTGATATTTCAGTATATCAATAATTGTACACATTCCCTGTGTTAAGATGAGCATATTATAAGAACACAATAAATATAATATCATTTTTGAACTCTACACACATAGGTAAACAAAGTATAATTGCATTGCGTCATTGAAATACATTTTTTAAAAAAGGCAACCTTCACATGACATTAAATATTGGATGCAGCGTTCAATGCATACGAGTAGACGTGCATTCTTTTACTAAAATTAGACACATTTCCAGTAAGTTTCCTAGATTTTAATAATTTTCTGTAATAAGTGTAATTTTCTCAAAGATAAGCATAATCCTTTTCTCGTGACTATGAGTTATTTTAAGTTAATTATGTCTTGTTCTGATTGCTTTCTTGTTATCTTGAGGTCAGAAGTTCAGAATTGTTTTGTTTTTTATTTGTCTTGTGGCATCGGAATAATATTCATTTCTTCCGCATTTCCCATATTTGAAACTGTTAATGGTTACCTTTACCATTGTATGTAAGCGTTTGAACAAAAATAGCCTTTGCAATAGCGCAACAATAATATTTGAATGATATATTTACTTAAAGATTATCATTATCTCGTGACTACGAGTTATTTTTATTTAATTATTTTTGTTCTGATCGTATTGTCATTCTTTTTTACTTTTTAGCAGTTACTTGATTAATTTAACTAACCAAATGGCACCCACAAACCCTAAGTGTCGTCTTTTAGGTATGTGAGCATAAACGAAAATGTTACAAAAATTTTATTTGATATTCTGCATATCAACACTTATAGCAATGCTAAAATACATTGCCGCATGTAAATACATACAGACATTTTAAATTATGCGCTACTAATTATATACTTAAATAAAATGGATTGAGAGGCCACATAAATAGATAGATAAATAGATAAATAAATAAATAAACAAAATAAATAAATAAATACAAATCAGAAACTAAAAAAATCTCGAAATAACATTTCGGACTAATTGGCGATGTCACATATTCGAGGAGTTCTGCTCTCTGTTCTGTTAAATTTATATAGTAGACACATTTATCTTCTCCAACAAGATTTTATATGCAAAATAAAATTCGTTTCGATTTTTTTTCACACTCCAAAGTGTTTTAAATTCGTCGCATTTTTTACACTTTCCATAGTATTGCGCCGGTCTTACTTAAGGTTTGTTATTATTTTTACACATAGCTTTCATCGAATACTGTAAGTACTTTTTCTTTGTTATACTTCAGGTTTTTTTTTATCAAAGACTGACCATACACATTTTACGTCAAATAAATAGAACAATGCTATTGATTTGGACATGTCTTATCAATACCAAGATAGCAACTATAAATCACCATTATCAGAAACTGAAATGATAATACAGTGAAAATTATGACTGTGGTTATATTTCTTGTCAGATCATTTCTCATTGTCAGATGCTATTTGAGTTTCTTTATGTGTATCTTGAAATGTTCCTGAATTGACACTTAAAATAGCAGACTAACCGTCATATGTGCCAATTCTTTAATTCATTTGTAGTGATCTAATTCCCTAACATTTGATTTTATTTTTCAGTGAATCTCATATCTAATTCAGGAACATTGCTAGATCAAAATTAATCGAATATATATGTAAAGATGATTAGAAGCTTAAAACGAATATATAGTTATTTAATGAGTGATCGATTAGTGTTTTTGCAAAATGTTTTTTTACGGACACACCGTGCTTTTGTAAGAAATATTTTGTTACTTCTTTAGAAAGGGCAAACTTAATATTTTCAACACTAATATAATGATTAAGAGCATGTACATATAAGATGCTTAACGCGTGGAGAAAGTGGCACACTGAATGTGAAATCATTTGTCAGCAAAAAAAGTAACCAAAGCACTATTTTGACTTCCATAGAAACTATCGAATCACTATATTTGAATTACCAACAGGCAAAATAATATCTGTGAGTAAGATAATTGGCAAATCAGTTCAATTTTGGAAACTTGAACTGGACACTAACGCTAGAAAGCTTTTGATCATAAAAAATAAGAATAAAACAATGTCTTGGGCATAATGGACCTAACCTTTTCTAAGCGGAAATAGATACACATTAATTTTGTTTCGTTAAGCATGTTTTAAAAATTACAACATCATTGCTCAGTACTGCCAATTGCAAATACATTTTTATCACATAAACCGAGGCGCAGAAGTGTATTAAAGCCATTTAATAGAAACGACATTATACTAGTGTACATGTAATAACATTTTGACGTGACATCATTTCCGTTTATATATAAAATAGCGTTAAAGCGCGCTAAGCGATATAAGCGTTAGGCTACAGCCGTGCCAATGAAAAATGACTCTTTTGACTGTTTACCGTTCTTATTTTATATATGAGATGAATAGAATATTACTTTCGCGTATATTCAATATTTATTGAACTCGTTTAATTAAAGAATATTATGCTCGCCTGAGGCTCGCAAATATGATGTTTGTCAACTCGTTCAATGAATTTAGTATTAAATCTACACTCGTTTTATATTCTTTATATATCAAGTAGTTCTAAAAGTATTAAACCCCAAGTGAAGGTTTTTTTAAGTCACAAAATATAACATAAAAGAAAAACTAGGCAATATCAAATGATTCGTCTTTAAAAATGCATCTCAATTGATTATTTCTTAGTTTTGACGAGACAATTGTTATTGAAGTATGGCAGAAAATTACTACCTGTCTAAAAAGGCGCCAAAAGTTGAGAATGTTTTATTTTTCCATTTTTGTTTTGAAGTTTTTATCCACAGAATCCATGGTTTGAATAAAATGTTCAACACAGAATATCCCTACGAACATTTGCCTTATAATACAATAAAATAGACAAGCTATAAAAGTGTAATGTAATTTGGACATCTCAAGTTAATAAATGTCATTGCACAAAATGTAAAAACACAATATTTTATTAGAGCTGTGACTTTGATGTGCGATGTAATAAAAAAGAAAGGACCAATCTAAAGTCATTTATTTAATGCTTCATCATAACCCATTGATTTTTTGTTTGTATTTTGAGACTTTCTGATCTGTCGCGGTAATATAATGTATATGCATTTGTTTTATCAACCTTAATCAACAATTATGCTATGTTAATTAGCAATTTCTTGGCATCTTGTATGGGTAAAGTATAACATAAATCAAAGATTCGTTAACATGCAATTGTATTTGCTGAATCTTAAGTCAGTAGGATAATGAACATTTGGTTAGAGATCGTAATAAAATCTCATTGTTCCTCCTTACAATAGATCAATAGTAAGAAATCAGGAGGAACAACACGATCAAACTTGCTGCCAGTAGTCATAGGACAAACATTTGTTCAATGCCACACCATCTTTATATATTTGGTATTGACGCAGCGGTCAAAGGGTCAATGTTTTGAAAGAAAAACAATACAGTTTAGTCACGCTTCTCTGTCATTAAAGTATAAGTAGAATTTGGGTATCATCTAGAGAATACAGAGATATACCGTATATCAAGTTTGTAGTTTATGCAAAAAAATGTGCTTCTTAAATGTGTACGAATAAACAGAACTGTTTTTGTTCTATCGCATAATTAAACCTAAATTGCACATACATTTGACCAGAAATGCTTAAAGGACACAGCTACTGTTCACAACTTTCTATTTTTAACCTTTAGCTTACTATCGGCGTCTGAATTTACCGATGAGACTATAATTCGCCGTAATACCAGTTCCGTCCGATCATATCTGGTTGTAAATTTTCAATGAGCACTTAAAAATACAATATCTGAAAATATGAATTTTTTTGACCACATTGAACGGAGGACAAGTCCGTTTTTTAATGTTTAGCTTTGTAAGTGATACGAAAACATTGTAATTAAATTAAGTTAACATTGAATTGCAGGATAGGTTTTTACAAAGATATCAAATAGTTTACCATGGAATGTATGTCTGATTGATATGAACACCGAAACAACTTTCCGTTTCAAGTTTCAAGTGTCTACCTGTCGCTTACTAAAGGATCATTATGTTATGGCTTAGAGATGCTTTCAAAAACTTTTTTATTTTTGGTATCATGTTACAGTATAAAAAATACATGTACTTAGTGTTAAGTTAAATCCAACACCTTATTTAATGCTAACGCCAACACTAATTAAATATATTTCACTTTAATGTATGATCATAATCAACAAAGTAACTTCATTATACCAAAACTCACGTTGCTAAGGAAGTTGATGTCGTCGTGACGTTATGACGTCATAATGACGTTATATAAAGTTTACTAAACAAAAATAAGATGAGATTAACATTAATTATACTTTCTTTCTTTTCTTCTTTTCTGTGATGTTTTGAGTCATTAAAAAGATGTAATATATGAAAAATGTTAAAATTCTACAAGTCTATATAAAATCTTTTGAAATTGTTCCTTCTTGTATTACACACAGCAGATCATATCCGGATGCCCCACGCTCAGTCATACAGTCAGCCAAATGATGTTTCCCTTGGCACCATCGAATTTCTTTGACTTCATTTCTGGACAAAAATTCGCTGATTGCAGCTATATCTACACGAAGACGCTTGTCATCTACTAGCTTGGTTGAATTCACAGCTTCTATTACACTTCTATTGTCCACATAAGCAATTATTGGTATTGTGTGATTGGGTATCCTTAGAGCGTTTTCGATCATTTGTCTGTAATAATATCCACATTCTAATCCTTCTTGTAAACTGAGAGCTTCAGCAGCAATTGTTGATCGTACTACCCTTTTTATTTTGTTGGTATGCCAGAAAAGTGGACAACATTTTCCAGAAGTGTCCATTAACCATACTATATAAGCCGCAGTGCTCCCTGTTCCAGAATTTATGTTGCACAAAGATGCATCTGTGAAGACTGCAATCTTCCAATCACCTACAAAGTTGCTCAATTGTGGGAATCTTATAAAAGACTTGAAGTTTTTCAATCTGTTCACTGCTTTGATCGCCTGAGATAGATCACTCATTGTAGCTTCCTTGAGTTTAGTGCTCAAGTCTATCAACTCAAATGCCATATCGGGCCTTGTTCCTTGCACTACCCAGTTAATCTGACCAATGATTTTCCTGAAAAGAGTCTGTTCTTCAGATGTTAATACTTCCTGTTTATTCTGGACTCTCTTTGTGTCAATCTGTCTGCTCTCTATGTTTTCCACATATCTAGATTGGTCCAGAATAATTGCATTGCTCTCCTGAGAAATCCTGAAACCAATATAATCAAACTGTCCTTTTTCAATTTTTCCTGCAACAAATCGTTTTCGTAATTTAGTCAGGACCTTCTCCAAACATTCATCACCAGCATGAAGAAAATCATCAACATGACAACAAATAATGCCGTTAAGCTTGTCTCCAGTGTGCAGAAAGAACATTGCTGGATCCATCTCTGATATATGACACCCTAATCTAATTAACTCGTCTTTCACACTTAGATAGAATTGTCTTGCTCCGTCTTTGAGGCCATAAAGTCCATGTTTAAGTTTCCAAATTATTCCAGCGATAGTGTCACTTTCCTTTGGAGGTTTAATGTAGACTTCCCTCCGAATTTCTTTTCCCTGTAGAAACGCCGACTTTATATCTGTGGTTTTTACAATCCAATTATTTACAGCTGCAAGTGCAAGAAATGTTCTAAGTGTTCCTTTTCCCACTGTTGGACTGTCACTTTGCATCACATATTCTTCCTCAAATCCGCGTACAACAAGTCGAGCCTTTGTTTGACCATTTTTGTGAGTTATCACCCATCTTGTTGATAAAGTTACCTGACCATAATCTTGAACTTCTTCATATGTGCCAAAGTGTTGCAGCTTCTGAAGTTCACAAATTTTAGCAGATGTGACTTCATCATCAGCACAAGTCTGTTTCATTACCAAATTAACCTCATTTGTTAACATTTTCCATTGAACTGCCTCCAGATTAATACTCTTCTTCTCTTTGCTGATATCTTCCTCTATATTATACCAAAACTTGTTTCTGCCTGTTGCTTTTCCAGCCCTTCCTAGTATTTTTGCTTGTATCCACTGATCTGTATCCTGTGCTCTATATTGTATGTTGTCATTTGCCTTCAATGTCCTTTCTTCAGGTGGAATATTTTGAATGTTGTTTTCCAAACTAGCTGATGATCTATCTGACATGTTTGACTGCAAGTTCTTAAATGGATCTGAGGATGGTATGTCCTCGTTTATGGTCTGCATACTTGTCTGATCTGAGGTTTGCTGGTCAGCTAATGTGCCCTCATTAGCATTGCTTCTTTCTTCTTCCAGACTTTCATAACTGTTTGCCTCACGATTATCAGAACTCATATAATCATTTACCCTCTGCAGCCTATTAGGCGATACTCGCACAAACACTGCTCCATGTCTAACAAACACCACTTTTCCATCTTGAAATACCACCTTTCCAGGTCCAAGCCAACGCTCTTTTCCCTCTCGCTTGTAGAAAACATTATCACCATGTTCAAAAACTTGTTCAGAAGCCCGTACTTTATTACGTAGAGCTCTCCTTATTCTTTCGTCAGCTTCCGACTGAATGAATGCTCTCCGAGCAGCATGCAAAACATTCAAATGCCTTGCAAATTCCTCACTGCTGGTGGTCCCTTGTAATGCAGGCAAGTTTTCACTCATAATATTGGGAATATTGGGGTTCTGCCCAAAAACAAGCTGATGACTGCTAAAACCATTCCACATCTGTAAAGAATTTCTTGCCATATTCGCCCATGATAGTAACGTCTGCAAGTCTACTTTCCCACAATCTGCCTGTAACTTAATCAGCATCATATCTGTTATAGCATGCACTCTCTCACATAAACCATTCTGAAATGGACTTTGACCAGATGTTGTGCATAATTTAATGTTCAGTATTGACGTGATCTCTCTTACTTCATCTGAATTGAATTCACCACCGTTGTCAGTCATTAATGAGCCCATCACGCCAAACTTGCCTACCCATTCCCTCATCAGTGCATCTATAATCTTTTCTGGCTTCTTTCTGTTGATAAACGTTGACACCGTATATCTGGACCACATGTCTATAATGTGTAAAATCCAGCAGCCGTTCCATTGCTTAAGATCCATCGCAACTTTTTCATTGAACTTGGAAGCCATAGGCATACCCACAACAGGCCTTGATGGAGTTTTTGCATACATCTTGCAAAGTTCACAATTGTTAGTAATGAGATCAAGAGTTTCCTCAAATTCTTCTCTCCAGATACCTGCATCTTTCATAAGTGCTGACAGCCGTTTCTTAGGTGGGTGTGCAAATTGCCTGTGCAATTTCACAAATGTTTTGTATCTCTCATTTTTGCTTAAATCATCAAAGTTTACAGCACAAACACTTTCTACAGGTACCTCTACCGTCTTATCTATCGGAATACAGTAATGACCTGATGTTGTCAAATTTAAAGCCACCTCTTTTCCCATAATGCTAGCTGTGTCGTTTTCTAGATCCATTTTTATAGCAGCCCTCTTCATTGCTGTCCGAGACAATAACAGGGGAATGTCCGACTCCACAACATCTGTTTTGATGAAAACATCTTTGCCAGCAATCACTGCAGGTATACAGTATTCTCCTTTTGATGTTAGGCATGTCCCACCACCAAACTTGAAAACTCTCTGACTATCTAACTGTGTTACTCTCTGTTTATCTCCTACATCTAATGACTGTATATAGTTATTTATCCAGTTTTTACCACACACTGTACTGCTGCAAGCACTATCAAGAACAGCACAATTTCGAGCATCTACACCCAAACGCTGAATCTCATCCTTATTGTAACCTGTAAACAATACTGCATGTTCCTCTTCAACAGCATTCACTTTCTTCATGTTTTCCCAGCTATGGGGGCATGCCTGTAGCAGATGCCTATATGAAGCACAAGACTTGCAGGTAAGCGTTCTGCCATCTGGACCAATAGGATTGATACACCATAAATGTCTACACTATGTAAGAAGATCTGGTAATACGCTCTGCTGCCACTTGTTAAGTTAAATCCAACACTAGTTGCGACAAAGAAGGACTAGTTTTTACGTATTTTGCTCTGTTTGTAATTGGTATAATCATAGCGAATGAGTATGGAAGTCAAAATACTACTTTGTTTACATTTTGCTACCTTAAAGACATAATTATAAGAATCCATGATTAAAACATTATTAAACACATGTTTCACATTTCGAAAAAATAGAATAAATTATATGGATTTCTGAGGCATAATGTGCCCTTAAGTTACAAATTGAATGGGACATTTCTCTAAGTTTTTTGTATTTTATCAAAGCATGTAATAGGACTAAAATCAAAAAGACCTGCTTCATATATTATAAATAAAAGGCATTATATTATTAATATTTGTATATCAGATGCTTTTAAAAATAAAAAAAACATTGGCCAGTCTTAGCTAAATGACATTTTTTTTTACTTAAAGTTTAAAACATGGTCGTATTATACAGAAATAGCATCAATTTCATAGGTAAAAGATATATAATTATATGTATGAAAAAGTAACAAAACAAATAAAAAAGACAAACAACAACAACAATCATAAAAAACAGCATCAACATTGTAATTCATTGAAATGTACTCGTTACTTCGACGTAAGGAAAATCACAGTTTTGTATAATAAATGTTACTTCAAAATCATATTGTGACAATGAAAATACTAAATTATTGGCTGATAATAAATTTTCTAAATTTTCCTAATAATGTTTTACTTTAAGTGTCCCCTACTGTGTATTGACGTCATCATGACATCATCATGACGTCCATGAGGTTAAAATAATGTACGTGCATATCATTCTGTTATAGTTATGATTTCTTTGATTTTCATTTTCCTAATCTTAAGAAACTTTCTGAATGTTTATTTGCTTGTAATTGATTTTGAAATAGCATGACGTTTTTTTCACATACTCACAACGTTTTTGTTTTGTTAACATAAAGCACAATATAATAAAATACGAATGCATGAACAACATTAGTCTAGATATATATCATGTATCTTTTAAAATGCCTTGATAATGGAGTCATTAACAAAAAGTATATTTCATTTTAAAACATACACGACATAGTGATTAGTCTTGATACATACTTTATGTTCAGAAACAATAAACATCTTTATATCAGAGTTATTGACTTTGTAAAACCTCCAATTATGATAACAAACGGCACGATAATACCATCTTAGTTTAAAAGACAGATGCTGCATGTACAAGTTTAACCAATAATTTTCTTAGTTCAAAAGGGCCTCAATTTTGCCAAAACCTAAAGCTGTCGAAGAAATGTGTAAAGATTTAACCCATTGCCTTCAGTAGTCTTGAATATACAAACTTGCACACAAAAACTAAACAAGACGGCAACACCGATGCCGACGCCGGGGTAAGTAGTTAAGCTTCCCCTTTTCTTCGAATATTCGAAGTATAAATGAGATTCAGAAATTTGTCAGTTTGTTTTTTGTTTAGAAAATGATTGCAGTCGTACGTTTTCTTGACTAGTTTGCACAGAGGTGTTAATATCAAAGAGTATATACATCAACACGTCAAAAATTGCTATGTCGTGTATGTTTTAAAATGAAATCTTCTCTTTTGTAACTGCCTCCATTAAATCTAAGATTTCTAAAGATGATTTGTAAAAGCAATCATTTTTTTTTTACAATTTCAACAATGACATTTCAAAAATCACAGATATATCTGCAAGAGAAAGGTTTGTATACGATAACTTTTGTATTCAACAAACTGTGATGTAAACTGTTTTAAAGAATCGAACAGTTAAAAAGACGAAAAATGACAATGTTTATTAATTTTACTTTATTTAATGCATATGTCGTTACTGTTTTTTATTTTAAAAACAACCAAGACCTTAAAAACACTTCTGGATGTTTTTTTAAGCTTTCTACTGGATCTGTTAAATTCATTTTTATGTTATTTATATGCAAATAAATAGATTGTTGAAAAAAATGTTAAAACTTAAAGCTTCATTTTATAAATTTCATGAAAACAGAAATAGATACATGTAAATTTGTTTAATAAATTGGTTCCATATCGACCCCTGCTCTTGGTGTCCAGACGATCAATTTGAACGTATAAGCTTAAAAGTCAGGTGCTTTATACATTTCCAATTTACATGTGGAACTCCGCATTTGGGTTATTTGAACATCAACAGAAAATCAACAAACATGTCTTTAAGGAGCAGTCTTAATTTAACGGTATATTACCGCATTATATAACGGATGTTTTGAAAATTTTACTTGTTGATAACTCTTATATAAACGACAGACCTAATGTACCGCGAAGCCAAAACGGTAAAAATTGATTAGATGGGAAAATCCTACTTTTCCGTTTACAGCTATTGCTTTTTAGAAGTCTAATTCTTGTGACGTAGTGCATACACAAGCAAATTGCTGTCTTCATTTGCATCTTAAAGTTCTTATGAGTTATCGTGGGGTTTTCCTTTTAAAATTATAATTTCTGAAAAATATTTGTTTAGATGTACAACATAACTGCTAAAAGGATAAAAAAGTGTAAACTGTTTGGTTTTTAGACCGACGGCAAAATATTCTACGTTTTTAAAAAAATGCAGCTTTAAATCAAAAACAAATGCACGAACCGTATGTAGAGCAACTGTTCAAAGTTAACACGATAGATCATTTTATGAACAAATATCATATTATGATGCAATTGCACTATAATTATACTCAAAGAGAAAGCCAAAATACCAGACCTCAATGAAAAACTAAAGAAGCCCATTGTAAGCAAATAACCCGTGACATTTAAATACTTCAATATACAACTGATCGTCTTACTCAAGGTGAATCACTGGTCAGATATATTTGTCATTGTCGAACTGTCATTGTTGAAATTGCAAAAATTGATTGCTTTTCCAAATCGTCTTTAGAAATCTGAGACACACCAAATGAATTTTCTTCCAAGCCATTCTTTCATGCGTGCTTTGTATGGTGTAATTTACTTACTTCTGGAAATCTAAATTGCGTCTTTTGTGGAGAAAATATTGTTATTTACAAGTGACATTGACAGGAAATATTTCCGTTGTTGGCGAACAAGACAATCAATATAAAACTGAAACGATGTTCAAGAAGAGATGTCAGCCGTTAATGCAACATTAGGAGATCTGCAATACGCATTCCTATAAGGTGCTCATAACCTGTATTGATGTAGTGAAATATAGAAATACCTCAAATAATAATTATAATAATAATAAAAATAATAATAATAATAATAATAATTAATAATAATATTAATAAATAATAATAATTATAATTATAATAAAAATAAAAACTGATGGTAATAATAATAATAATAATAATAATAATGTTATTATCAAAACAATCATTTTTAATATAACATTGTTATTGTTTATTATTTATAACACATATAAATAATCTGATAGTTTTGTGGCTGCAATATGCTCAGTTTTCAAAATCACTCAGATAGTTATTTTATCTGCACCATGAATAGAATGATTCGTTTGTTGATTACTTTCTTTAAAGAAAAAGCAAGCTATAGGTTTCACATTAAGTGAAATATCTTGAGCATCTTAGATTTCAGTTTAAAGAAAGCAGTAATAGTGTAAACACATTGTCATAATTTATTTTATCGCGACTGATATTGACGTGTTCTTCTGTTATTATACTTAAAGATATACTATGCTCATCTTTGAGTAAAATATTTTGATCGAAGAAATTTATTAAAACCTATGAAATTCTTACTGAATATGTCTAATTTGAATAAAAAATGAATAAAACTATGCATTGGAAGTCACATTTTCTATTATAGGACAAGTAAAGTTGGTCTTTTCTTAAAAAAACTGCCAGTTTTTTTAACGACACTATATATTCATATTGTGACGACCTATAGTGTGTAGAGTTTTAAACATGACATATCAACTTTGTGTAAAGTCAAAACATGTTTATTTCATATTTACAAAGAGACTATGTAGCAATTATCAATATTTTCTGATATCAAATTTGAGCATAGTATATCTTTAATATTAATAATTCAAGCATAGATCTTACAATATTTGTCTGTTTATGGTAAGATCCAAGAAAAACAAACATTAAAATGAGCTTCATCGCGTAATGTTATACTTGCATGTTGTCTGAAATGCAAGAAAATGACTACTTAATACCATACCTTAACATATAATTAAATAATAGAATAAGATATAAGTGCAAATATAAGTAATCATATATTTTACCACCTAAATTTGGATTCCGGTTGCTAGATACTAGTTCGAACTCACATGAGGTAAACTCCTGCTTTGCATTGACGTCAGAAACATCGACTGTGATAATGGTTTGAAATGTCTTCATAGTATTAATTACAAAAATATATATCTGAAATAATTGTGCAACAAACATTCAAGATACAGCTATCAGGTCGGACGTACACACAGACTGTTACAAAACTGCACATTGTAAAACGTACAGGCCAAATGTTACTGCATAAACATCTAGAATTATCTAGAAATAGATAGATTCCTCAGAATCAAGGGAACAACAAAGTTATTTGAAAACTTCATAAATGGGTTAATTGAGTCTGTTTATGAGAGATTATGGAAAAGTGCAATAACTCCTTAGCCCCCGTAGAGGGCTTAATCGGTATTCAAAAGATATGAAATCACATGGTTGTGGTCAACCTTTTCTCAAGGAAGAGATAAAAAAGAAGAAACAGAAGACTTAGCTAGTTTTCCCTCGAAAAAAGCGGTCTACACTAGTCTTATAAAACTTCGTCTAAAATATGTAGATGTACGTAACTTTCCTCAAGGATTGGACATCTTATTTGCAGTTTACAAAAGTAGTTTGAAACATAAATGTATGGTC